AAGATCAGATACTGTATTCAACAGGCTCTTAGTCTCCTTTAGCCTCATGCTGGCCTGCAGATATTACCCTTGAGGGTGTGGTGTGACACTCCCTCTGCTGAGTTACCAGATCATACTCTGGAAAAGACAGACCCAGCAGTTTCCAACCCTGATTTTGTAACACTTCACGTGATCATTCACTTTTGCAAGGTATGTGGTAAAAGTCTCAAAAATATTAGTTCCCTAAGCATTTTGGTAATATATATTAAATTTCTAAACATATTTATACTCTCAGATTCATTACCATGTTTGGGAGTCTCTTCTAACTAATTGGAAATGTGAACAAACTTGTGTGTGTAAAAATGTTCTTCTTGGAAAAATTTATACTTAAAAGTTGAGAAAAATCTAAAAATAGTTTAAATGAGATACATACGTGGGAGATATTAGCCAGCCACTAACAGTTATATTTATGAGAGTATATAATAGTATACATTGTGTAATTATGAAAACTTTTATTTTAAAAGTATTTTGGAAATTTTTTATTTCGATAAAATACATATAACCTGAACTTTACCGTTTCAGCCTTCTAAGTGTACAAGTAATGCACAAGTCAGTGACATAAAGTACATTCACAGTATTGTACAGCCGTCACCACTATCCATTCCCAGAACTTTTTCATCATCCTGAATAGAAGGCCTGTGCCCACTAAAGAATAACTAGAAAACTTTATTTTTAAGAATTAAACCATTTTAATTTAAAAATTATTCTGTAGGTCATATTAGGGAGATCAAAGGAAGGGAGAAGCATAAAATGAAACGCTGAAAGGGATCGGAAAGATGGATTAACTTGAAATGAAGTCAAATGAAATGGAAGAAATGCTTTTTGTCATTTAAAATAGAAACACTGGAAAACCACAAGCATTGAAGCCCTGGGCTCTGCCCCCAGTGTGGGTTGGGGTATGAGGTGGGTGTCTGCACTGCCTGGAATGCAGGCTGGCTGAAGGTGGTTGACTTCCTCTGCTGCCAGAAATGTTAGGAGAAAGAACTATACAGTTCATCAGGAAGGCCTATGTGCAGAGAGATGCAGGAAAAATTCCCTCAGAAGGGAGAGGCCATTTCCGTCAGCACCTCTCCTCACTGCATCTCTGACCCTTGGTGTCTTGCACAGCCTTCCCACCAGCCCCCATCCCAGGCTGTCCTGGATGCCTCCTGCTTATTGTCCTCCTATTCCTCTCTGTCATTCAATGCAGCAGATCAGTTGAGTAAACATTTATTGAGCACCTCCTGCATACCAGTCACTGTGTGCTGTGCTGGAATACAAAGGTACATAATCCAACTTATAATCCAACCAAGTTCAATATAGTGGGGTCTGTGTAACAATAGAGATATGCACAGAGACTGGAACCTCACCTGGATTGAAGGTGTTGGGAAGGCTTCCTGGAGGGAGAAAAAGTTACTTGGGTGATAAAAGGCAGGACAGGCATTCCAGACAGGGGAAGCAGTCACATATCCCGTAAGAGAGTGGCTCAACCAAACATAATGTGCATGCCCTTCTTGTTCTCAAAAGTAATCCATCATCTTACTGCTTTTTGGTGGGTAGAGTCTAAGTCTTATTTCATTGTGTCTGCCGAGCCTAGCACAGTTCCTCCACATAGAAGAGGCTCAATACATGCTTGTTGAACTGATTTGAAATGAATGCTGTGATTTATTATTTATGGGCCAACTTTCAAATGACCTCGTTGTTAGGACATTTACATAGAGCAGGCATAGGACCCCAGAGTTATTTACCCCCTACATCATCCTAAACTTCTCCTTGTCTTGCAGCTTTTCCTTCTGTCTCTTCCACTCTGGGCCCTGGGAGGGCCTGATGAATATACCCTGACTTGCTTTAACCACATTATCTATTCCCCTTCCTAACTCTCTGTGTTACCAAAAACTCCCCTTCCTAGCCCTGGCCCCTTCTGGCCTGATATAATGTGGCAAAGCTAGAGACTGGTCTTGTTTTTAAAACCTTAATTGATCTCATGATGGCTGGGATAGCATAGAATAAGCTGGTCACTGCCTTAAGGCTGACTCAACAAAGGACATTGTCACAGAGATTGTATAGATGAGGTCTCCTGTACTGTAATCATAGCTGACATTTGTTGAGTGGTGCTTCCCATGTGCTAGGCACTGTTTTGTGTTGCTTATATATATTAACCCGTTTAATCTCAACAACACTGTGGGTTAGGTACTGTTATCATCCCTGTTTTACAGATGAGACTTACGAGGCACATAAACATTAAATAACTTGCCCAAGGTCCTATACCTAATAAAGATAGAGCTGGGATTTAAGACTAGATTCTGGTTCCAGAGCCTGTACACTTAAAATGCTATTCCAAACTTTCTCTTCTATCCCCATAAACTATCCTCATCCCATATTCCCAATAAAGAAGGCAGAGAGCTGGATCTTCATGGTGCAGTGTTTTTTGTTTTTCGTTTTTTTTTGTTTTGAGATGGAGTCTCACTCTGTTGTCCAGGCTGGAGTGCAGTGGCGTGATCTCGGCTCACTGCAACCTCTGCCTCCTGGGTTCAAGCAATTCTTCTGCCTCAGCCTCCCAAGGAGCTGGAACTACAGGCGCGCACCACCATGTCTGGGTAATTTTTGTATTTTTAGTAGAGACGGGGTTTCATCATATTGGCCAGGCTGGTCTCAAACTCCTGACCTCGTGATCCGCCTGCCTCAGCCTCCCAAAGTGCTGGGATTACAGGCGTGAGCTACTGCACCCGGCCCCATGGTGCAGTGTTCTTAGATGTGTTCTTAGATGTGTAGGTGTATATTGGTCAGGGAAGTCTAAAGGTATCTGTCACCTGGGTCATGGTAAACCCTATTTCAATATTTCCATGTTGATTCTGACAGGATGAACAACCCTTACAATTAAGTCTTTCTAACTGAGTCTAGTAAACCTTTCTAATCATTATTTTTACCAGTGCCCACCATTATTAAATCTGATCATGATGCCTTAAAGAACCTGAGCTACCCATTTCACATGTTATATAGGAGAAATCAAACACTTGCCACTTTTCTCTTATCTATCCCCCCAGTTGGAGTGGCTTAGTCAGTCAAGCAAGACCATCTCAGAGATTGTCCTTGACATGGATATTCCATGACCGAAAGACGTGAGCAGTCGAACACATGAAGGCATCACATTAACAATAGTAGTCAGCCAGGCACATTCTTCCCATGCGCTAGGGACTGTTTTGTGTGGTTATATATTAACCCATTTAGTCTTAACTCATTTAACCTAATTAACCCATTTAATCTAATATTAACCCATTAATAGATGTCACATGCCTGTTTAATCTGCCAAGAACAAAGCCAAGGGCATTTCTTTCATATTCTCACTCCTTCATTCAATCATTTGCCCATTTGTCGGGGCTTATTGAGTGCTTGCTGTAGGTAAGCCAGGCAGAATTCTAGGTTTTGGTGATCTCGTGGTGAACAAGCCACAGCTCCAGCCCTCCTAGAGCTTCTGTCTTACTGGGGCAGGAGACAATCAATTTAAAAAAAAAAAACAACAATAAGCAGGAGAGTGATGCGTGTAGTCAAGGAAGGTGTTTCTGAGGAGGTGACCTTTAAGCAAGAACTTGTGTGAAGTGGAGAAATGATCTTTATGTTTGCATTCATCTGCTCCTTCATTCATTCAGCTGACAATACAGTTTAACAGACAACACAGTGAGCGGCCTCACTGTGTTTGGTTGCTGCTGTGGGGAATGTTGGTGGTCGGGGGTGAGGGCTGGGCTGCTTGTGGTGGCTAACCACATAGGCACTGGGGGAAGCCATGTTTGTTCTTACACGGGCAGGAGTGTATACCAGCAGCATAGGGTGCAGGTTTAGGAAAACGCTAGGAAGCATAATCCAGAATAGTAGAGTTTGGGGTTCCTCCTCCCTTTTTGATCTTAAAAAAAATCTTACTAAGAAGAGTCATATGACAAATAAGAAAATATTCTCCTGAAACAAATGTATGAGAGAAACTTCCCTGAAAGCTCTTAAAGTATAGCACTTCATTAGAACAAATGGATAATCTAAATAAGAAAAATATCAGATTCCAACAAATGAGAAGCTATTTTATGTTCTTCTCAGAATACAGTATGTTTTAATAATGTAAAAAAATGAGTATTTCTGACGTTCTTAAGTATTTGCAGGCTTTGTGCTTATCTTATGTGGAAAAAATTATTATTGTTCTCAGTACATAAGGGTTTGATTTGCAAAGGGACTACCATAAAAAATCTATTATAATGTTTTATAGCCATACCACTAGAGTAATCCTAATAACCCACATCTGTACTGCACACTACAGTTTAGAGTGGTAGAGTGGTCCTATGTAATTGATCGAATTCTCACCACAACCCTATGAAGGTAGGTAATGGCTGGGTTGATGTTATCATTCTTAGTAATAGTCCTAGTGGTCATGGTGTTACCATCATCTGCGTTTTACAGTTGAGGAAACTGACATTTAAGAACATAAGTAGTTTTCCCGGAATCTGTAAATTAAAATTCCCAAAGAGCAAACATAATTTTAAATTCTGATAGTGTGGCCTAATTAAATCTGATATTCAAGAATAAAACATCTAATTGAGCATTTGTAAACCCCATTTCCTTCTCATCTGTCATTGTCAGGGGTGGGAGGTAGGCAGCAGTTAAGAAAATGTGGTTAATATTTCCCAACAGTGCAGTGTTTTCCATTCTTCTTAGAATTATGTCTCCCTTTTGAAGGTCAATTTATTGTCTTTTTTATTTTCTTTTGGTCTTTATAGTAATTGATTTTATGGTATATGAAATGTTGGTGAAAAATGCTTAAAGGGTGGGAATTTCCTTGGAGCCAATTTTTTTCTCTTTGGGTACTTATTTGTTTGTTCTTGCCACAAGAATTTATTGTGTGCCAGGAACTGCACTAGATCCTGTCTCCGCTGCATTCACATTTCTTTGGTGGGCAAGAGTCTTACCTTGTGACTGACGTCTGGTTGTGTCTGTCCTCTCAGGTGGGGTGACCGCTCTCTGTTGGGACCCAGTCCAGCGGGTGTTGTTCTCAGGCAGTTCAGATCACTCTGTCATCATGTGGGACATCGGTGGGAGAAAAGGAACAGCCATCGAACTCCAAGGACACAAGTAAGGCTGCTGCTGGTTTCATAAAGACTCTCAGCTGACAACTAGAACAAAGGAGTGCAGCTCAGTCTCTATGGCAGGGTCTTAGCATGGGAAGGAACATGGCGGGAACACAAATACTGGCCACTTTGATTTATAACTGTGTAAAACTGTGTTTATATACTTATACCCCATTTTATTCCACAGAGCGTCTGAGAGTGCTTACAAAAACCATAAAATAAAGTAACGGCAGTGAATAAATAAAAGATAAAAATTAGAACTGGGAAGAATATAGCAGTAAAACTTTGAGTGAGGAAAAAAAGAGCTTAAAAATACAAGCTGTGAAGGCTTAGAAAATTTATATAATTGAGTTCAAATGTGGCTTCAGGCTCCTTGGCAGCATAGGGAAAAGAGAAGAGGTAAGATCCTTCACAGTACATTTTGTACTTGACCAAATATTTATTGAGTGCTTGCCTTGATTCATGTCAGGCTCTTCTTCCTTAAGGGATAGGTTTTAGGGGGCTGTGAGGAAGTACAGAGAAAGCCTTGCATTTCCTTGGAGCAGTTCTCAAACTTTGCTGGGCACAGAGAATCTCTGAGGAATTTGTGAAAAGATGCCCGGTCCCTGTCTGCTAAGATTCTGGTTGCCATCCAGAGCTGTGTGGATCTGTGCTTTGACAAGCTTCCCAGGCAACTCCCCAGTGGTGACCCTCAGCCCACACCCAGAGACGCCCTGCTGTCCCTGGGGGCAAAGCCTAATCTTTTTGCATAAAAGAATGTTAGATCTGCTTTACAACTCCAGTGCTCATCTGAATTGTTTTTTGCTTGTTAAGTTTTCAAAACGATCTTGAACAACCCTTGACAGCCATAAACAATTGTTTGTAATGCTCCTATGAATTAACCAGTTTTAAGCAACATTAGCTTTTCCTGTAAATCTGCTTGGAAACCCTAGTTTTAAAATATTCTCCTAAATAGTTAAATCTAGTTTGGAATTGTTGGACATAAACTAATTAAATTTTGGAGGACCCATGTACAAGTAACTGTTTTAGTTTTAGAATTTAGTGTTAGAGAAATAGCTATTAAGCCCTTCTTTCTCATAGTGGAGAACAGAACAGCTGTCTGGGGTCACTCCTGGCTTGTGGGGCCACTCAGACCTTGTCATCAGTTCATTAGAGGAATCATTCCCTTATGTTTATCTTTATGACAAGAGAACACACATCCATGTCCTGTAGAAAGAGTTCACATCATCCATGTAAGAGAAGGAAAAAGGAAACCAGGGCCAGGTGCGGTGGCTCACACCTGTAATCCCAGCACTTTGGGAGGCTGAGGCAGGTGGATCACGAGGTCAAGAGTTCAAGACCAGCCTGGCCAACATGGTGAAACCCTGTCTCTACTAAGAATACAGAAAGTAGCCAGGCGTAGTGGCCCGTGCCTGTAATCTCAGCTACTCGGGAGGCTGAGGCAGGACAATCACTTGAACCCGGGAGGTGGAGGTTGCGGTAAGCTGAGATTGCACCATTGCACTCCAGCCTGGGCAACAGAGCAAGACTCCGTCTCAAAAAAAAAAGAAAAAAAAAAAGAAGCCAAAGCACAGTTGTGTTTAATAACACTATTATCATCTAATCTACCACATAATTCCTGCCAACTTAAGACTTTCTCAGAGAAGCGAAATGCAGGTTTTGAATGAAGATGACTAATATTTACTGGACTCATTCAGTTTAACTCCTAACTGGTTTTATGTGTACACAGTGGTTAATAAAGACTGCAAGCACTCTTGCACGATTTCATGCACCAGATGCTGAACTGCAGCAGTGCTTAACACTAGCATCACTGTGTGCAGAGGGCCCTTGACCTGAATGGAAAATGTGGGTCTGGGAAACTTACCCCTATAGTTTGTTAAGAAAGGAAAAACTATAAAGTTTAGATAAGTCTCTCAGTTCCAGAAAAACAAAACTTTAACAAATAGGTCTTCCAGTTTCTAAGTACGGACTTGTCCTTTTAGAAAATGGAATAAACCCTGCTTGGAGTTATGCTGATAGAATCGTGCCCTTAGAACTTGCACAGGTAAGCAGGCAGGCTGCTGAGATGAGGAGCCACTAGGCAGAAGTGGTTTTACACAGGATGGAGGGCAGAAGGCCTTTGCCTGGTGCTTTATTCAATTCAAGCTTAGTAATACGTAAAGGAAGCTCTATGAGGGACTTCTTGTCATCAGGTTTTAACCCCGGGGAGTGGTGGCTCTGGTGTCACAGAGCCAGGAGAGGAAACTTCCTCAGCATCAATCAGTGTCACTCTGTTAGAGTGATCTGAATGCCAGGGTGGGGATAGAGAAGCCTCTGGAGCCGCCGGAAGTAGTGAGATGGCATGGAAAGAAGGTTTCGGGATCATCTGGCAGAAAAGGAGACCACTTTCAGGCAGGCAGGGAACAACTTTCGCAGCCGCCATTCCTTTATCCTGAAAGCCAGCTGCTGGCATCCAGTGATTCTCGTATTTGAGTAGCACCTAATATTTTGTGAAAGAACTTTCAAACCACACAGACTCCATTTAATCTTGGCAGTAACACTATAAAAGAGAGAGCTCGGATACCATTTTTAGAAGAGAATAGTGAAGTATTCAATATTAATATTCAATATTAAGCCCCAGCTGATAGCTTAGATCTCTAAACCTTAACTGAGTCCAGCAGGGAGCTGCTTAGCACCTTTGATATATCCAGCCCTCAGTAAGGCACTGGGGATACTAAAGTGAACATTTATTGACTAACACATGGTCCCCAACATGCCCGGTGATGTTTGCTGATGCTTAGGCCTCAAGGCTGCCCTTTGCTTTCCTACAGTTCCTGGTTTTCCTTCCACCCCCAGAGTGACTGATGGTGGCCCGAGTTCCAAATCGGGGACATAACTGGTGAGCCTGGAAACCGGGGAGAGCAGACTGGCCTCCCCAGGATAGGGAGACTGCCTTTCCTTGGTATGGAAATGTCCAGCCATTCTGTTGAGGGACAGCTGCACATGTCTTCTGTTCTGAGTTCCACAGCTTCTTACCATCCTTCAGCAACAGAAAATGTGACATTTTTATAACTAGCTCGATTTGGTGTGTAAAAATCCCATAAAGCAGAGAACGCTTTAGCACCAAAGAAAGTGATTGATGACAGTGAAACTCTTTCCAAGTCCCAGGGAAAAAAGCTAAGAAAGTATTCTTTTATATGGTATTATCTGCATTGGAAGCATTCTGGTGTATTTATTCCCTGTAGCAAGTGGATCGTGATTGTGTGCTGTGCTAGCTCTGTGGGAGGAAGGGCAAAAAAAAAAAAAAAAAAGGCTCCAGATTCCGGGACCAGTTATGTTTGCAAGCACCAGTTACTAGTTGGATGATTGTTAGCGAAACAAAAACCTGGACACTTATTGTCCCATGCCTACCTTGTCATAGCTAATAACGGTACTTGGTCTTTTTAGATCCCTTTTAAATTCTTATATAATACTGTCATTTCATGACCAACTTCATGCCCATAATTTTTCTTTCTAGTAGTGTTTTCCTATCCTTCTAAGACTTGATGGTGATTTAATATAACCTGACTTGAAGCACCAATAAAGATCTTTGCTACTCCTCATATTGGAACCCTCTACCAAGACTGGATTCAGCGGCTTATGTGAGGCTAGGTCACAGTCAGGGCCCCTGGCACTTCCAGTCTGTGGATTTGCTTTTTCCTTCCAAAATCCAAGCTCTTGATTTCTCTCTTACTGCTCTTACCATGCATGAGAATTTTGTTATAAGAGTTCTCAAAACCTTTTGGTAAAGAAATAGGCCACTTGTAAATAAATACACAGAGAGAATTTGTGCTTTTTCCCCTTGTATCGAGTAAATTGCATTGAAAATTATAAAAGGAGTAGTATTCTTGCATTCAGCTTCTGGGTTAGGGGACAGGAGGACAAGGATCAGTACAAATGACAGCTTTCTTTCTGCTCAAATCTGTGAGATTTAAGAGCATTTCCCACTGTGGTGCTAGGGAACTGTTAGGATAGAGGGAAAAAGATGGCTTTTTTATTTCTAACTATTTAGCTAAACACATAATAGATCAAAATACCAGCCATGAGAGTTTTCATAGAAGGTAGAATCTTCTCAAAGACAGAAGGGCTGGAAAATGTGGTCATTAGCGTGCAGGCCTCTGAGTCAGGTCAAACTGTATTTGAACTGGCCCTTCTGCCAATGGCCTGCAGCCTCAGGCAAGGCACTGCACCTCTCTGATCTTCAGTTTTCTCATCTCTAAAATAAGGACAAAATTGGAAGGAAAAACCCTCACAAGGTTGTCAAAAAATATAAATGATGTAATGCATGTAAAATAATCAGCCCAGGAGTACAGGCCTGGTAAATGGCGGTTGTTAAGATTACTCTTGGTAATAAAAATTCCAAGTCAAAAATCCTGCCTTGGGATCTGACTACTGTTTCTCTTTGTAGAATTTCCTAAGGAAATATTAACATATATTCAAAACTCAGTCAACACATGTTTACTGAGCTCCAGCTACAGACTTTGTGTTAGATACTCAGGACACAAAAGTGAGTTAGGAAATAGCCCTGCCTTTGTGGAGATGTGCTACCAGTATGAAAACAGGCAAAGGTGGCACCGTTCACCAATTTTACTGGAAAGTGGGAGGCCTCAGTGCGGGGGTGGGGGGGTCACGCTTGGTTTGGATGTTAGATGAAGAGATTCTCATAGTTCTCAGGATTAGGAGGTTACCCAGAACAGAGAATAGCATGAACTAAAATACAGTGGGTTCAGGAAATACAAGTGGACAGAGGACGAGAGCCTAATCTAAACCTTCACCCTGCCACCAAACAGCAGAACATCACTGGTGCTCAAACCAGTGCCCCCAAACAGGGGTCCCTGAGTTCAGGTTTAGCCTGGCAGTGGGCCAAGGATCCCTGAGGAAGCAGATCCCTTTTAGGGTGCTTTGGCTTGGGATGACCCTACATAGTACTGTCTGGGAGACCTCACTCGCGTGGATTGCTCACAGCCTTCTCTGGTCCTTGGAGCT